ATGCCGCGTGCTTCTCGTTTGTGCTATTTCATGCAGTGAGAGCGGTTGCACGGTTCCCCTTAAGGAATGCGAATAGGAACACCTGCACAGGCCTGTATCAGTAACCCAGCTGCAGGGAAAGTTGGTGCTTCTCTGGCAAGTGCAGGAGTCAGCAGTCAGTGCGGTCTCTGAAAAAAAACCATTGTCGTGCTGGGAGCAGGGGAAAGGGCTCACAACATGGGAGCCAGCGTTTCTGTGTGCTTCTGGGATCTAAAAACAAACTGCAGATGCAGCGCCAATGCCACCTTGCCAGGCTTGCTGACACATAGAATCATAGAAGCATTTATGTTGGAAAAGACCCTTAAGATTGAGTCCAAACATTAGCCTAACACTACCAAGTCCACCAGACATGTAGCAGTTTGGTTCCAGATTACATGTGCCTTTAGTTCAAGTCAGCTAGAACCTCAGGAATAGTTTAGGCACTGAATAAGGCCACACCACTTTGCTTGGCATATTCCTTCTGAGGGACTGAGAGGCGGAGGGGGAACCGATAACAATGCCCACTGTCCCGAAATTTCTGTGATTCCTATGGCTATTGCCACACAGTAGCACTTGGATTGGGGTCACCCTAAAAATCAGTGGAGGTTGTTGCCTTCATTCCCATGTGCAAAAGGCCATATGATCTTCATGGCTTGCTCTTCACTGCTGGCTAATGCAGTATCTCTTCTGTGCTTGTTTTTATTACTGGTTGCGGGCAGAAATTTATTTACTTGTTTTAGATCTGATTCTCTTCTGTTTGCAGTTTTGCCAAAAAATTCACAGCCCCTAGACAAGAATTTCAAGCAGAGGAATAGAATAAATCCTTCTCGTAACCTGGCAACATCTCGTCTATTGCTGTGTTAGGCAGACTGGGAAACATCAGCCTCTTGCAAGCCGTGGACACGCAAGGAGCTGTCAGGAAGCAGATTGGTGCCCCAGGCCACCGCTGCCTGCTCTGCCATTATGGAGGAGCCAGCGCTGCTGCTCTCAGAATGGCTGCCGTGCTGCCAGCATCTGGTGCTGCGCTAGCTGATGTCCATCCGGGGCCGCTGCAGCAGCAAGCAGTCGCGGAGGGGGCGGTCTGCTGCTTTCTGCCCCCTTCCCCTGGGTGGCAGGTGGGCTCCGTGTTCCCAGCAGTGTCCTGGGATGACATGCGTTGTCGTGCAGGGCTTTGTGTAATAAGCAGCGAGCTGCTGATGTCTCATGGCAGCTGTGGTGTTAATAATTTGTCTGCGTCTGTCAGTCACCTGGGGTCTCTAATGGATCCATCACAGTGGTACCAAAGCATCCTGAGGGCGGTCACCCCGCGAGAGATGCTGTGGGCGGCTGGGAGCGTGGAAGCAAGTCAGGCATTGTGCCGTCGCCATGCTGCCCCCCGCCCCCTTCCTCCTGCTGTTCTCACACCCTTTCTTTCCCCTCGCTCACACACACTGTCCCTCCCTGTTCCCAGCTTTCTGCCTCCTGCTGTTTCTCTCTCTTGTCCAAAGGGGTTAGTTCTCAGTCTCACATGCTGGAAATGCTGCCAGTGAATATTTCTGTGTGCTGCCTGCCAGGTCCCTGGGGAAAAGGCCTGGAAATGCAGTGCAGGAGGAGCAGTGGGAGCAAGGGAAAACCATTGTTTCTCACTGCTCGCCTGCTGCATTTTCTAATGGGAAAACGCTCTCTGTGAGGTACTGAGTTTTATGTCACTGCTGAAGTTGCCCCCTCCCCCTTCCCCCTTGCCCCAGAATTTACCATCCCCTGGTGCAGAGGAGGAGAGGTTGCAGCACTGCTACGAAAAAGCTGAGACATGTTTTCAATTTGCCTCCTGCTTATCTCTACTGTTTGGACAGAGAGGTTTAAAAAGCTGGATTTTCTGTCCCTGCAGAGTAAACACACAGAACCCGGCAGCACAAACTATTTCTGGCTTATCAGTGGAGGAATGCAGCAGCTGAGGCTTAGTGCGAGTGGGCCGTCAGGAAGGCCCTGAAGGGGCCCCCTCCCCACTCCGCGCTATTAGAAGTGTGAGAGCCCAGCAGGACTCAGAGGGGAGAGTTGGAGAAAAAGGCAGAAAAGGGAAAGAAAGAGGAAGAGAGAGAGTGAGAGAGGCTGAGCAGACCCTGATGGCTACAGACGAAGTTACAGGAGGGGCTCGCAAAGCTACGAAAAGCAAACTTTTTGAGTTTCTGGTCCATGGGGTGGTGAGTCGGGAAAGTTAGTGAGCTGGCTGGCTCTAAATAGAGGGATGAGTGAAAACTGGAGGCTCTGTGCTGGGCTGGATTGGCTCCTGCAGTGTGCTCCTGGGGTGCTGGTAACTGCCTTGCCAGGGGAGCACTGGGGTCTGTAAAGCCCCCAGAATATGCACTGATTCATTGATAATACAGGCTTGTGTCTGGGGGGATGTGTGCTGTGATTTTTGCTTTGATTCTCCATGAATGGTGAATAGCGTGCTTTTGAGCCTGATCATGGTGCAGAAACTGCACTGGATCTGACCCAAATGGGCTTGTAGGACACTTTGTTCTGTAATCAAACTTGTGTTTTGAAAAACAATTCTGATGAAAGCCTGATGAAGCCTTGTGGTACTGCCTCTGGTTCTTGTCTCCAGTCTTGGCTCTTATGTATCCTCTGGCTACTTAACAGGTGACTTTCAGGGGCTTGAAGAGATTAGCTCTGCAGATCTGTAACTGTCTATGGGAACTCACTCATGAGAGAATTTCAGGGTGCCATGCTTAATTAAAGCAATCCTTCAGGTCTTTAAAAATTTTCCAGCTTTTGTTTAAGAATCAGGTCTTTGATTTCCATTTAAGGGGAAATGCTAACCCTGTTTTGCTGCCATTGGAAATGATGTTCTTTAAATGACTCTCTAGTGATTGAGAGCAGTCACCATTTAGAACATTTGGATTTCTTGTATTGATACACATTTAACAAAAATAAGACTGTTAAAGAACCCCAAGGAATGCAGATATTGTTTGGATACTGATAGTCCCGAGTGTTTTCTCTCTTGAGGATTCTGGCACCTCCTGTGACACCTTTTTGAAGACATCAGGTGGGGCTCTTGTGCAAAGATCATAGAAATCTGTGGAGCTCATGACAGGCTCCTAAGTTGTCTCCATAATTCAGGCTTACTCCAGATGTGTAGGGTCTAGCATGTGTCCTGCAGATCCTGGATATGGTGGGACTTGCAAGACTAAGGACTTTCAGGTGGCATTCTGTGTTTGTGAGAACGGTGAACAGGTGATGTGGTGCCATTGTACAGGAGCAGCCTGTTGGGAGATGGGCGGATGTACAGGGATGACTGAAGAGCAGGTGTGCAGGTCTGTAGCAGTGGTTTTGTTGTGGACATGTGGGTTCATTAAGGTAGTCTGGCTCAGGATGGCTATAGCTGGGCAGAACCATAGGCAAGTTGGGAGGGGTGGGCATATTGGATGCTTTTGCCTTTTCCAAGGTTTCTGTTGGCATTTGCACACCAGTGGTCTTCCTTTAGTGTCAAGAAGAGTGGCAAAAATAGTTACGTGAATTTGCTTCTTCCACATCTAGATGGACTTCATGTGAAAGCAGCATGCTAGCCTCTTAAGTGTAGGAATTTTTAATTTATACCAGACTGAATATAGCAGAACTCATTTTAATTACTTATTTGGATGCTAGAAAAGTCTTGCCTTTTCTGCCCTGGGAGTTTTGCCACTAGTGGCATCTTACTTGAGTATCTGCGTTTGCCTGGAATATCTGCATTTGTTTGTCATCTTCCTGCTACTTGTTAGTGAGGCTGGGGCTTCTTGTCTGTTATTCTGTTGCCTGAACACCTCATGTATGACCCTCTCCTTTTCTCCATTATTATGTCCTTTAGTTCTGCTTTTGCTTCCTTGTTTGTTCTTTCCTTTAGTTTCTTCCTCATCTCAGGTTCATTTTGATCAAAACACAAGTTGGGGTAGTCGGTCTTCCATTACTTAAAAAAGATAAAAAAAAGTTTTAACTTCATTTTGTCTCTTCAGGTCCTGTATCCTACCAAATAAGAGAATGTGCCATCCCAGCCATTACTTTGAGTTTACATATTGCTGGCTATTGAGTTTTATTACCATCCACAGTGTGCCAGCATCTGAATCAATTCCTTGAAAAATCAAGTTACATAGCAAACTTTACTGGAATTCCTTGGAGTCGGATTCTGCTCTAATTTCAGGGAAAAAATCTCCTCTTCAAATTACTTACTTCTTATTTTATCTGTGATAACATTATTTGATTTGGTTATTGTAGGCTTCTTCTCCTCCCCTGCCCCGCAAAATGGGGAGAGGCAAATAGAGGTAGAATGTTGTGAGAAAATTTTTTGCTATGTGAACACTTAAATTAACAGGATAATTTTGCAGTATTTCCTAAGGGCAGTAGCTTTTGGATTCACTTGATCTTTCTGGAAACATATGTTCCTTTGCTAAGGTCACTTCGCCCTTTGCTCTTGTGCACCTGATCTTGCCTTTGTTCTTATCCATATTGCTAGCTTAGAAGATGTCTTCTTCCTTGTTTGTCCCAGTCAAATAGGATACCTCTGAAAGGTGAAATCTCTTAATGGTTAAAAAACTCAAGTGTGATACTTCATTGTCATCCTGCTTGAGTTCTTGATAGTTTGTTAACCTCTGGTTAGCAGTTCTTCTTTTAAAAAGGTTAGATTTCTTTAAGTTATTTATTTTTACAATTCTTTTACTCTTCTGTTTCATCAGGGTCTTGCACATTGTTTTTGTGGGAATAGAGAATTTTTTTTTCCCCAAAGGCTTCATCCTGTACTTTGTCCTTTTTTTTGTTCCTCTCTGCTCTATTTCTAGCACTTTTATGGATAAATATGGCTTTAATCACCACATTTCTGTTGATTTATCTCTTTATTGATGCATTTTCTACTGTCCAGTAATATATTTCAGGCTGTCTTTATGACATCTCCCTCTGGGTGTCCAGCTGTTGCCTTAAATTTTGTTGACCCAAACCCAGTTATTAATCTTCCTGCAGGCCATTCCTTTTCTCAGTTTCTTCTATCCTCTAGACCCTATCATAGGCCTCCCTGCTGGCTGGATCCCTTCAATGGATGTTACCTTTGTCTCTTTTTTTTTTTTCTTTCTTTTTTTTTCCTTTCTGTTACTCAAAAAGGTATCTTCCCATATAGCCTTGAGAAGGTCCATGATGCAGATCTTGTCAAAGCTCTTGTCCAGACATCTGTCCTCTTGTGACTCAATTGCAGCAATCTTCTCCTCTTTGGTGCCTTGTACAGTCGACCTTGCCTGTGTTGTCTTCACACAAGAAGCTGCTGAGAGGTTCGCTTTCTTGTCCTGTTCTTCTGACCTTTTTAATCTGCTTCTGTGTCCTTTTTCTGTTCCCACTTTATCTTCCTTCCAAACCCAATCTTCTTGCCTTTTATACACAAGATACACCTATAAAGGTCTATGTCCTTTTCTTAACTATCAAGTCATATCTGTATTTACAATACACTTGCTGTCAGTTTAAATCACCTTCTTTTTCCCATACTGATCTTGTTCTTTGTCCTCTGTGCTGTGCTTAGGAAGCTCTTCCTGTTAATATCAGGCCTTATCCATATTTATTTTCTGCTAATATGTGTTTTTTCATAGTTCCTGCTAATCTCTACAGTTTAATATTAGTTACACATCAAGACTGCTAATTTATACAAACCTATGTATCACTTATGTGACTCCTTTGCTTATCCTCAGTCTTCTTTTTGTCTGGTTATCTACCTCTCAAATCTGGTCATAGAATTTTATGGTAAGTACAGAAACCGTGTTATATGAAATGGCATTTAGTACAGTGAAAGAAGGGTCTCAAAGCATGCCATCATGTAAACAAATATTTAATATAGTGATAAATAACTTGTTGCCAATGTTAAAGCATACAAAAAGACAGGTCTGGTGCCCCAGATGTGTATGGAGTGTCTAATAGATTTATCAGTGATCTGGACGAGGGGATGAGCAATGAATTTCATAAACAAATTTTGCATCTCCTCATACATTGCTGGGTTTTAAATGAACTGTAACCATTCAGGAGGAAGGCTTGCATGTCACTGTGAGCTGTCTAGTGTGTAGCAGCAGCCACTGCTACTAAGAAAGCAAGTAAACTGTTAGCCTGATTAAGAAATGGGGCAGAGAATAATACAGAGGCAATTGTAAATTCGTGGCATATACTTAGAAGAATATTTTTCTGATTTGGGTCGTCTGCATGACTAACAAGCGAAAAGAGGGGTAACTCAGAGGGCAGTAGTAGTGGGAGGTCTGTGAAGAATTAATCAATAAGATAACGGGATTTATTTATTTATTTATAATATCTAAGGATGGAGACTGATTAGGAAAGTTGTAAAATCTCTGTCATTGGAGGCTCTTAGGCACTGGTTAAAGAAGTAAACATCAAAGATGATGGAGATACTGGTGATACTTCTTTGAGATGAGGAAGGACTGGCTGACCTCAAGGACTCATATTTCAGTATATTATAAAAATTATATTTGTTTTATTATAATGGAAGGAACTAAAGATACTCTCCCCAAATTAAATGGTGATCTGTTTTAAGTGGATAAAAGTGATTGTATCTTCCAGCCAGTCATCAGGTCCTGGAGATCACTACTAGGAAGTAGCGAGGTGAGGAGAATATTATGTTTTAAAAAAGTAAAACTTTGCTAATGAAAAATATCCTACTAATTTTTATATTATCATGTATATAAATACTGTCTTGTCAGAGCATAAATCAGCTAACACTAGAAAGGCTAGAAAAAAGCTTCATGAACTGTTTTTGGACAGTTTGTTCTACTTCCGTAACACAGGGCTGTCTGTGCGGTTCTGTGTGCTAGAACATTGTCAAGGAATGGGTCCTGGAATGGAGTCACTGGTTGGCTGCATGTGTATTCCCTGTTTTGTTAAACAAGGAGATGTTTGGGGTGAGTGTAGGGCAGCCTGGAGAAATCAAGGGACCTTACTGCAGTGAAGAAATTTGATGAGGAAGGTACTTGCAGAAGACTGGTAGAGTGAAAACATTGTACAGCATTCAACCATGTAAGTAAGCTGCCAGTAGAAACTGAAGGTTTCTCCTTTCCTAGCCCTGGACTAATTGCAGGCTAACGAATACCGAAAAGTTCACACATAATTAAGAAAAGAAAATTGTATTAATTCTAGCTAGGGTTTTAATAGAGATCAATGTGATTTTATGCAATATGGGCTTGTTAAACAA